AAAAAAAAAAAAAAAAAAAAAAATGAGTTGTAAATAATAAAGTCAGTTATATGGTGTTGAGGAAATTTTATTATTTTAATAGAAAATATTTTTCATGATTTTTTTATTATGTGAGGTTAAAGGACGTTCAATTGTAACAGAGTGTTTTTTGAAGCGATAAAGTGCCATTGGGTTGTCTAGTAAAATGTTTTAAATTTAAATTGAAATAAAACATATTTTAAATTAATTAATTTTTATTCATAAAATAATTGTACAAAAAAATTTTTAATTTGAGTTATTTGTTTAATAATATTAAATGGTATACAAATTAATAGTAAAAATAAATACTATTGAAATATTTTGTGTAAAATCATAGGTATTACAAAATATTTCACAAAGGTTAATATAGGTGTAGGGTTGTCAACTTTTTTTTGGTTGGGAGGGGTCTACACTTCTGACTTTAACCTAAAAAAAAAAATTTTTTTTAAATAACAATACATATTTTCTACTAAGTTTCTGGGTTTAGATTTGTAAACCGGGGGTGATACACCCTTAACCTCCTCACCCTACATCTATGTAGGAAGGAAGACTGAGTAATATAGTAGAAGTAATAGATAATAATTTAAAAAAGTAATAATACTTGTACATTTTCTTCAATTGATTTTTATAGTATACAATTATTTTTAACTTAACAAGTTAGAAGTTTTTTTTTTAATTTGGTTTTAGAACTGATTTAACTAGTGCATGTTAAAACATAATGATAAACTACAATCTTGTATTTTTATAAAGTTCTTTAACATTATAATCTTAAAAATGGCACAGATAATACATGCAGATAAATGTAAGAATATATGATGAACATTTAAATATTATTTTATTCATTATTAATAATTATTATCTTATGCATACTTTCATTTTCTCTCTCTTACAATGTATATACTATATATATAAATAAACAAATTACTGTGTTTAGTTATTCATATATAATAAAGGAGTTTTAAAACTTAACAAGGTAACAAAAAAAAAAAATGATTTACTTTACCATAACTAAAAGTAACTACAATGATTCATTATATTTGTAAATATGTCTTAAATAATACTATTATGCAATTCTGCGATATTGCATTTCTATAATATATCATCTGGATGTCAGGTTCTTCAACAAATTTGATAGCTTTTGAGACTTAAAATCACTGCGTAATTGTATAAAGTTGCTTAAAATTGAATGATCCAATCCCACCTATGAATAATATTTACAAGTTAATTTTAGTGTAAGTAAACATAATTTTGAAATATTCATAGTAATATAAATTTATGGTTTACCAATGTTTCACCATAACAGACTTGTTTCAAATTTTCATGCTTCACCAGTAACAAATTACAAAGAGCATGTAGTGTATCAAACAAATTGATGACTAAAGGTGAGCCTAAATCTTTTACACATTTTCTATATTCATTTACATCACATATTGCACACATGGCACCTAAAAGTATTTAATTTTGTACATTAGTTGAAATTTACTTTGTGGATTTTAATAAAAGTTATTAAATTATTATTAATACCTGCTGAATTATAAGTGTATTGTAAGAGGTGTTCATATATAACACGGTGAAATCTGATTCCAAGTTCAGCTAATACTAAATCAATATTTTTATTGTCCAGACATTTGTGTATATGTTTTACATTACTATTGAAATACTGAACCACACATTTACAAGCCTAAAATATTTTACAATTTTTTTTAACAGATTTAGAATGGACTTAATATAAAATTTCAAAGTAGTTTTGACAAAATTTTATAAAATATATGAAAATCAATAATTATTAATATTTTATATTATATTATATTTTAACTATAATGACCCATGCATTACTTTAGAAGTATAGTACATATTATAATTTTTTCTTTACACAAATAAAAAGTATATTACTTTCTTTGATTAAAAAAAAAAAATTAAAATTTAGTTCTATCTCCCTTTAAAATTTTGATCACTTATGTATATTAAATGGAAACATACATGATTCATCAGCTTACTGATAAGAAAAAGTCTGGTCATTAAGTTTTTAACTAATATTTTGGAAGTTATAACACTGTAATATAAGGACTGGAGGTGAAACACGAAACTATGTAATTTATCTTTAGGCATTTTTGAATTGCAATATATTCCTCCAATCTTAATATGAAAATGCTAATATTTTTTAAAATTCTAATAAGAAAGTTGTTATCAATTCGTAATTTTCTTAGTTCATACTTTATTTGTAAGATAGTTAAACATATATGTTTCTAATTAAAAAACAAAAGTTGACACAATTTTAAGGGATAGGACTAATTTATTTTTTAAATCATAGAGTATAGGATATTAACTTCTGAGAAAAAAAATATTTTGTTTTATACTAATAAATATATTGATAAGTCATAGTTACAGAATCATCTTATATGTAGTGCGAATTTTTTGTGTAATAATTTCCCAATTACATTAACTTAATATTTTTTGTAAAATTTAATTGTGTAGCATAGAATATGGTATTTGTGGAAAAAAGCAAATTTTTCTTATCAAATTTATGAATTTAAATGTTATAAATCCTACAAAATATACAATAATGAATAAAATACAACTGATATATACAAAATAATAATAAGTAGTTTGAGTATGAGCATGTACTGCAAAAACCATCAATATTTTTTGTAAGAAAATGTCTAAAAAATGACTATTTTGAAATTTTTCGAAAAATATTTGTTTTCTTATAAGACACAAATAATAAAAAATATTTATTTAATAATCTAAAAATACAAAAATTGTTTATTAATTTTTTTTAATTTTAGCAATTATATGACACAGTGGTGGTTAGTTAAGAGCTTTTACTTACTATAGATGTCATAGTATCTATATCAGTTTCTGGCCTAAAATCTGATTTTTTTTGTTCAGTAGATAAACAAATTTTTATCCATCCTATAATTGCATTTAACGACCTATGAGCAAGTACAGATTATAAACAACTTTTTTTATTTTTTAACATTTTAAATTATACAATTTAATGCTTTGTTACACTAACCTGTCAAGACCAAAATCAATTTTAGATTCTGTTTGTTCTAGTTGCTTTTTCTTTAAATTATTGTACAGTGAATACTTAGGAGTAGTTCTAAATTAAAAATTATGTTTACATTCAGTAAAAACAAAAAGATAAAAATACTTACATAATTGTAGGTACCAAGATATCCGAAAATTGTTTTTCCATTAAGATAATAATTGTATTAACTTGTTTTACAACATCAAAAAAATAAACATTTGGAGGATCATGAGTTTTAGCTTCTGGAATAGGTACAGATTGTATAGCTAATTCTAAACCATAATCAATGTATTCATCAATTAAATAAGTAGTTAATATTTCAAATATTTGATAGCAATTTGATGGGATATCAGATAAAAGTGAAAGCTGTAAAAAATATACTGAATTTAATTCAACCTTAAAACATCAGTTAGATCTAATTACAAGAAAAGTTATCACATATATAAAATGGACAATTACCGTACAACATCTATCTATTGCATGATTAAATTCTTGTAATAATAATGTTGCTACATCTTCAGATAAAAATGTTTCACCACCATAATCTTCAATTCGCATAATATTAAAGTTCGCTCGAGTACTAATAACAGTTTGTAAATCTCTTCGTAATTCTTGAAACCTATATTGATAATTTTTTCATTATTAAAATGACCAAAATTATAGACATATTATAAGTATAACTAGTGGAAATATTTTAAATGATATATAGTCGTGTATTAGGTTTTTTAACCCAATGTCTACATTTTTATAAATTGATGGACTGTATTGTATGGATTGTATGGACCATTGTGATTTCTTAATATCCTGGTAAACCAGTATTTGTTAGAACTACAATAGTTTGTCACACAAAATTTAAAATACTTTTTACAGAGTGATCAGCTAACTATGTTTCATGTAATATCTTTAAAAATACAAGTGTTATATACAATTTTTTATTTTTTTTTTGTGGGCCTTTGATGAGCTGTTTCACAAGAAAAATAAATTTCTATCATCATCCCTTATACTTAGAACTTGAATCAACTTTATACTTTCAAATGGCAACCCATATTATTTTTATGTTTTATTGTTTGTTATTGAAAAAAAAATAATAAAAAATTATGAATTTTAAACAAGATACACTACTTTAAAATTTACGATATTTGATAAAAAAAATTCAGTAGTTTTCCTAACACTGTCACATTATTATTTTATGTAGCGATAAGAGCTACCGTTTTACTGTGTCAACACACGTAGTCAGAACAACTAAGGTAAGCTTGGTATGTTTATTTATAAAACTGGTAGCGCTTATCGATTTACAATCTATAACATTCGAGTCTGTTATAATTTTTTCTTGATAAACTGTTAACTTTAGAGAGCCGTTGAGCGCTTATTATTAAATAAAATATTTATTTTTATTAAACTAAATCTAATGGTGTAAAAAAAAATGGGTTGCCATTTGAAAATATGAAGTTGATATAAGTTTTCAGTATAAGGGATGGTGGTACAAATAAAATTTTCTTATGAAACACCTCATCAAAGATCCATAATGATTGTTTATAACACTTGTATTTTTTAAGATATTAAGTGACACATAGTTAGTCCATCACCCCGTATTGTGAATAAAATTTTTTAATTATTTATTATTAAAAAACACTTGATATGTTTAATGAAAATAACATTGCAAACATATTTTATTATATTTTATTTTTGAGTGGTTTTAAAACAAAAATTTTTAAATCTTTTAGGTTAATACAAATCTGTTTTGTATTGTTATAAGTGAAATAATAAAATTTAAGAGGTAAAAATAATTGGTTTTAAAGATTTGATTATTTATTAAATTTGCATACAAATAAAAATCTATAACTCTGAAATATTGACTTATTGAAGGTCAATTTCTTGCACTTCATTTAATAATTTTTATAACATATTTTAAATAAACATCTATTTGATTTAATGCAGACAATTAATTTAATTTATATCTTACATACCCTCCTGCTTGAATTTGTTTTTTCTGGTGACCTTTAGAATCATAAAATTTTTGCAATATAGTTAAATATTTATCTTTGAGATTCTTTATTTCTGAGCTGTTCAATACAAATAATATATAAATACAAAAATAAAACGGAAATCAAATTAATAATTACTTAAAATATGAATCTATGTATTTTTGAAATATATTTTTTTGAAGTTTGCTTAAGAACATGTCATCATTACCCAAGTTAAAATGAGACAGATTTTTTGATAAAATTGTAGTTCTAAAAAAAAAAAAAAATAAAATAAAAATGTACTATCATTGTTTAAGGGTAATATAATATGTAAACTAATATTGAAGTTTTTTAAATCTTTTGTAATTAAGAAGTAATGAAAATTATATTCTCAACATACTTCTTATGTAAATGATTAAGTTTTTCTAAATAACTTGCTGTATCTTTAACTTCAGATAAAACTGTAGAAATATGATTCTGAAAAATTGTATGATACAAAACTATTATTGAAAGTTTACATCAGTATATATACTAAGGAGCATGTGAAACCCGTCTTAATGCATGACTGATGAAGTTATAAAGGAACAATAACAAAATTGTTTATTTAAATAACCACTATCACCTTCAAATAAACAAATTGTTTTTGCTTATAACATCTCTTTCAGTATACATTACAAACTAGAAAGTGATAGAATGTCGTCCAGTAAAATTTCCTTAAATTATACTCTGGTTTATCTCCATTATATTAAATAATATTTTGCACCTTTTCGATTTGATTACAAAATATATATAGATGATTATAGTTTTACCTGTAATTTGAGCTGGTATATATTTAAGACAAATTTAGCCATAACTTGATCTGGATTAGAAAAAACTTCTTCAATTATTTTTAGGTTTTCTTCACAAATAGGAACTATATCTGCAAAGAGATTCTTTCCAGAAAGAGAGTTCTATAAATAAAATTAAACTTTAAAGTGTTAAATTGTAAAAATTATATAAATAAAGCATAGAAATCAATTAAACTATTTTTGGTTGATAATATTATCAAAGAAAAAATACAATTTAAGGAATGGATAAATAAAATAATTATAATATGTGTTTTCCTTTTTAAATTTTTCTATTATAGTTCTGAAATTTGAAGAACATATAAAGAAATTAGTTTTATCACTTAAAATAACATCACTGTGGTTCTGTGAAAGTAGCAGGTTTCTGAACCACATATATACTTCAATTCAGATTATACCCTTAATGAAACTAGGGATGGGAACAACATTTATTGAATTAATCTTTCAGTAAAAAATATTACACTACAGCTTTTAGAACTTACCTTTCAGCCTCATTGGAATTCTTTTATCGCATAATACACCAGACGCTTCTCTCTACTTCAATCACCCACACTTAATTCTGTGTCTTACATTCTCGTCAATACCACCGCTCTTTTGCACAACTGATCCTAAATACTTAAAACATTCCACCTCTCTATTACATTCTTGCTTATTGTCACTGATCGCATTTCATCTTCCTTTGTTAAGCCCGTACAATATATATTCTGTCTTACTCTTACTTATTTTTAGTCCCTTTCGTTCAAGAGCTGATCTTTATACCTCTAGCTTTTGATTAATTTCCTTTTCTTATTAGAAAATAGGTAAGGGCTTAAAGCAGATTCTTTGTGTACTCTTACTCTTACCCTAAAACCTTTTTTTACTCCTACCACATTTTAACCATGGTTAAAGTACCACTTTACATATCCTCTATTATATTAAGAAATCTTTTCATATTAATGCTTACTTTAAAACCTCTTTCGGTACTCTATCATATGCTTTCTCCAAATCTATAGATATCATACACAGCTTTTTCTTCTTTTCACAATACTTTTCTATAAATTGTATCAAACAAAATAATGAGATTTAATACAAATAGATATTATTGAAGAACTGAACACATATTAAATAACACCAACTAAAAATAGATATTATTTTTGGCAGATGATAAATAATACACTACTTATAACATACCATCAATAATTTCAAAACCCTATTTTTATGATTGATCAAATCTCTTATAATCTCAAATACCACTGAGTGATTTATTAAAAAATAAATTTATTATATACCGCTTGACTATATTCAATGAATGCATCTACACATTGTGAATATCCTTTGAAATGAGTCAGTATAGAAGCAATTTCTTTCATGCGAGGTAAATTTTTCTTTGAATGATGCCTAATAAACTCTTCAATTAAGGAACGTTCAATTTCATCATACTTTTTGGCTATTTTCATTTTAGCTTCTTCATACCTAATATAACATATATATGTATACATTATATAAAATATGAACTATCAAGTGATTGTTAAAAATATATAATTAGATTATTTAACCTGCCAGGAGGAAGCTCTTGAGCAATAGGAAATAATTTTTGTATTACATCAGCAGCTATGTCAATCTTAAATTGAATAAAATTAGTTTAAACTACATATTTCTATAATTCAACATTACATATTAAATAAAGTATATTTATAAATATAACCTTAGATGGATCATTAAAAATATCAACTGATAAAGGACCAGCAGACATAAATTCAGAAAGATAACCAATCAACTTATGAACTTGCACAGCTCTAGATCGAGGAGTATTAATTGATTCAAGCTGGTCACCAACATGAATGACTTTTGTAGCAACATAATTAATTCTTTCATCTAAATTTTGAAATGCAATAATTCCTGCCTAAAATTGATAGGTAAATATAAAAATTACATTTTTTTAAGATTATAAAATATAGTATTAACTTTATTTTGTTCTTGAAGCTTCTGAATTTTTAGAAAATACATAGTTTCTTTATCTCGGCACACTTGTTCCAACTTATCACATTTTTTTTTTTGACGGTCTTGTAAAAATTTCAAATCTCTGAAAAATAAACTATATATAAAACAAATAATACTAATAATAAATTTAATTTAATGTGAATACTTGATGGCTTGAACAAATGTTTCTTGTACTTCATCCACAACAAGATTCTCACAATCAGCACTATTTCCAAAAACACGATATGCTAACCGTTCAACAAACTCATCAGGATCATATGGATCCTACCAAAACCAGTGATACTTAAAAAAAATTTTTATTATAAAATATATTTAAAAATAAATGTTTACCTGCTCCATTTCTTTCATGTATTGTTGAAGCATTTTGTATATTATTAAAAAGAAGTAAGTAACATATAAATTAAATACATAAAGTAATATAAAATTACATAGTGAGAATAAAAAACTTAAATCTATACATAATCAATCTTTTAATTCAAGAGCTGAGTAGATGAATATTTAATAATTCATACATCTATATATCAATATTTATCAAATATTATAATCAGTTATCTACTTATCATTTTTAGTATTATCCTGTTTAGTGCTGTAATAATAATAGACATTTAAATTTTTATATCTATGGTAATAATCACAATAGATAAAAATTATTCTTTAGAATCTGTGATAATCATTAACTATTATCTTATTTCATGGCAATACATAGAACAACAATATTCTGTGGTAATAATTTTAAAATTGGGAAGACACCAATTCATCCAATAATCACTAACCGACTCGAAGATGAGTTTTTATTTAAATATGGACAAAATAATATTATATATGTTTATAAGAATAAATATATCATGTTTAAGCCATTGTAAAATCCCCTTAAATTAATTATTTCCCATATCCTGTATAATAAAGGGTCGCCTAAATTTTAAATGTCCACTGTACAGTGTTATTAAGTATTATTCGTATTTAAGGTCCCCTGAAAATTAAACAGTACAATTTATAACACACAACTATGTCTTATTTTTCCTACTGATTTTATTGGAATTAATAAAAATTCATTAATTCCAATATAGATTAAAATTTATCATAATACGTATTCTGTAATCTATCCAGATTATAATATATAATTTGAACAGTGATTTCATTATTTATTTAGATAAATCTTTGGATCCGAATTGAATTAGTTAAGCCGGATTAATGATTAATCAAAATTTGCTGAGAACTATTAGAGATTTGCACTGATTATATAAAAATATAATTTTACTTAGATAATTAATTACTATTCATTAAATTAACTTTCATTTTCCAATTTCATATTTATCACATCTTAGACATATTTATAAAAAGCTCATGTAAAAATTAAAAAAAAAATTATTCAAAGAACGAAGTTATTTATTACTATCTCAAAATATTAATATAGGTAAATATTACTGAAGTGCATGTAATATGATATTTGTGAGTTAAATATTTAAATTTAAGGTTTATATTTATTAAGAATACGTAAATTATTAAGCTATTATTTATTTTACAATAACATTTTTTTAACAATTAAACGACTACTTAAATCGAAATATTCTTTTTAATTTCAATTGATAAATGGTTGTATTATTATTTCGTGGTGATTTTTGTACTTTTTCAATATATATTCAACAAAAAATGAAACCAATGAAGCAAGCACGCCTAAAAAAGTAAAATTTAGTTAACAATTTTTTTTTTGTAAAATTTCATTTTTATCTGTAATTTTACCCATTAAAAGAACAATAAATGATCCTTGCATATCATCTAAATTAACTTTATGATTTGTAACTTCTAATTGAGTTTTGGTCCAACATTGATCTTTTTTTGGTAGTGTATCAACCAACCATTTGTTCATAAGACCAACTTTATGCATTTTTTCAATCCTTAACACAAACAATTAATTTTATAACAAGGCGATTTGATTTACAAATTTATATTAAAAGAAAACTTTAATTTCAAAAGATATTATTTTTTGAACTAACTCACTCTCTATTAATTTTTTTAAGATACGGACTACCTTTTGAAATGACCATGGCTAGTTTTTCTTCTGCAAAATCTTCATTACCTAAAATGACATACTAATAATCTTAGTTTATGAAGTCTATAGATCTCAATAAAGTGAAACAAAAAACAGTAGCATTTAATTTTTTTTTTAATACTAGAATTGTGTATCTACCTATAGCAAAATCACATCTATTAGTCAGCAAGAAATCGTTTTTCATTAAATAAATGAGATTGGTTCGACGTTGAATTAATGCATGTTTACCAGCTCTTACTCTATCAATAATTGAAGATGATTTATCGATGTGATGCTCTGCATTTTTAATTAACTCTTTTATAGTTATGTCTTCTGGTAATGTCTATAAATTAAATGTATATTAAGTTTATTAAACTACCTTTTAGCTTCGATGCGAAGCTGAGAAGGTATTGGTTTTACTAAGATGTGTTTATTTATTAATTTTTTTTTGTGTCTGTTACCACTTTTTCTCAGCTCTCACCGAACCAATTTCTTTCAATGATACGTCAAAAGATCACAAATCGTATCTAGTCGAAGACATTACCCTTAAAAATTGAAAAAAATTCCCTCGTTCCCCGTAAAAGGGGGAAACCTCCAAAAAAATTACAAATTTAAAAATCGCTAATTTTCGAAATTTTTTCAATTTTTTTTACTTAAAAGTGCCATAACTTTTTCAAAAATAAACATATCAATATAATTCTTTTTTATATAGATGCATAATATCATTACCTTTCATTTGGTATATTTTTTTCATAAATTTAACCCTTAACCTGCCCACAAGGGGGGATTTAAAATGACAACTTTTTCACAAAAAATTAATTTTTTTAACTTAAATTTTGAAAATGTTCCGGAAGGTCTGACACTTTTATATATATCTTAAATTAAAGCTAATGTAATATGCTTTATCATGAAAAAAAAAAATTTCGGACTTTATCTTATCTTCATGGTGAAAATGGCTACCGAATGCTATTTTTGTGTGAAAATTTTCGATTTTGTATTTTCCATTTTTAACTTTATTATGCTATAACTTTTTGAAAAATGTATGAATCATTACAATTTTTTTATGAGAAGTAGTATTTATATAGATCTTTCATTCGACATACTGTTTTTTTAAATCGGACCATTTCCCTAAATACAGGGGGGATTCAAAACATAAAAATGCATATAGAAAGTAGAACTTTTTCAACTTAACTTTTGAAAGTGTTCCGGAAGGTCTGACACTTTTATATATATCTTAAATTAAAGCTAATGTAATATACTTTATTATGGAAAAAAAAAATTTCGGACTTTATTTTATCTTCATGGTGAAAACAGACATCAAAGTTTATAAAAAAAATACGATTTTTGTAAAAAAATTCTTTTTTATATTTTTAACTTTATAATGCTATAACTTTTTGAAAGATGTATGGATCAATATAATTTTTTTTTTATAGATGCATGATGTCTTTACCTATCATTTGGTATATATTTTTTTTATATCTGACCCTTTACCTGCCCACAGGGGGGGATTTAAAATGACAACTTTTTCACAAAAAATTTACTTTTTCAACTTAAATTTTGAAAGTGTTCCGGAAAGTCTGACACTTTTATATATATCTTAAATTAAAGCTAATGTAATTTACTTTATTATGCAAAAAAAAAATTTCGGACTTTATTTTATCTTCACGGTGAAAATGGCTACCGAATGCTATTATTGTGTGAAAATTCTCGATTTTATTTTTTACATTTTTAACTTTATAATGCTATGACATATTGAAAAGTGTATGGATCAACATTATTTTTTTATGAGAAATAATATTTTTTAATAATCCCTTTTTCATTCTACATACTTTATCTTAATTAGGATATTAATAATGAACTAGCAGATAATGTAGATTTTGGAATAGTCCACCAATTTTTTAAAATTAAACAGGGTTTTTTTTTACTTAAAATTGCCATAACTTTTTTAAAAATGACTGAATCAATATAATTTTTTTTTTATAGATACCTTAAGTATTCACCTATCATTTTATATATTTTTGTGAACATTTTTTTTTTTATAGATGCTTGATGTTTTTACTTAATATTTTACTTAATAATTTTAATAATCCCTTTTTTATTCGACATACTTTATCTTAATCAGGATATTAATAAGGAACTAGCAGATCGTGTAGCTTTTGGAATAATATACCAATCATTAATTAATGGAATAAGAGGAACTGTATGACTTTGAAATTGAATGTTACAAAATGGATTTTAATTTATTTAGTCTTAAATATTTCAGTTTAGACCACTAAAAGCCCAGTTAGGGTATAAAAAAATAAATATTATATTAATGATAAAAATTTTGATTGTATACTTAAATGAAATAAGTTAAAAAAAAATTAACATTTATAATTAAATTTTTAGTTTATATTATACCTATTTAGTTAAAAAGAACTTGGAATTTGTTGATGAACTTACACTGAGTAACGAATGCAAATTAGAAGATTCTGGTATTCCCCACGTGAATCCTTGTGATTTACGATCCATTAGCTCATCAACGTTAGATACCATTGTATCCATTTGAGGAAAAGTCAAGTATGCGACCAAATTACCACTGTAAGTAGTAACAATGACAAGTACGAAAAGCCACCAAGTACTCACCACTAAACGACCACTGTCAGCGTCTGGTAAATGAGCACCTCCTGTTAAATTAATGATGGATGAAATAAAAAAAATTGGAATAAAAAATATATTCATTTATTCTGTGAATTCTAAAAAAATCATTATTAATTATAAATCTTTTAACATAAATTTGTGTTATGTGTAAGTTTATTTTGTAAATAAAGTACTATAAATGAACTCAGAGACAGAGAAAATAAGAAACATTAAAAAATATTTTATTATTAGATACTCTAAAATATTCATTGTACATAATATTTAGATTTATTTAAGTAAAAACTAAAAAATTACCTTGTTGAAGTAATGCTCCATACACATACCAAAAACAATTGAGAGGTGAATTCAGACCTCCTTTTCTATTTATTTTATGATATTCGTAGTATGGACTTAAAGTATGGAATACGTTTAATAGAGGACCCATAATACCAACAACTATTGCTATACATAGCCAAGTCTAAACGTGAGTATAAGTATTATAATGTATTCATTAGATTAGATTCTATAGAACACACACTACAGGGTGTTAAATAAAATGGAAAAAAATTAATTTTAATAAACAATTGGCACCTTTTCCTGACTTACTGAACACCCTGTATAATTGGGTGCACAGTAAGTAAGGAAATGGGTTTATATTGTTCTCATTATTTTTAACAATTTATCTAGGGGCATATTTTTGAATCGTCCGTTCGTCGAACGGATTCTATTGTTTTATTACCATCTAGGTATTGTTCGATGAACGTTTATGTTCCACAATTGTTTGTATTTTATTCTAATAACATAAATAAATATTTTGAATATTAAATTTATATATCTTGATTTTAGCTTCGATGCGAAGCTGAGAAGGTATTAAATTTACCATGATGTGTTTTTTTTTTTGTGACTGTCATTACTTTTTCTCAGCTCTCACCAAACCGATTTCTTTCAACGATACGTTAAAAGATCACAAATCGTATCTAGTCGAAGACATTACCCTCAAAAATTTAAAAAATTTCCCTCGTTCCACGTAAATGGGGAAACCTCCAAAAAAATTAAAAATACAAAAATTGTAAATTTTCGAAATTTTTTCAATTTTTTTTACTTAAAACTGCTATAACTTTTTTAAAAAAGCCAAATCAATTTAATTTTTTTTTATTGATGCATGATGTCTTTACTTTATATTTGGTATATTTTTTTTATAAATCTGACCCTTTTATGAGAAATAATATTTATATCTCTCTTTCATTCGACATACTTTTTTTTAAAATAACACCATATCTCCTTATATATTTATATATTATAAATATATATATACATATATATATATTCATATATTACACTTATAAATCATTGAAGTTGTAATCAGGATATAAATAAGGAAATAGGAGATCATGTAGCTTTTGAAATAATCCATCAATTTGTTTAAATTAAACACTATTTATAGATTTGTATCGAAGCGTTTTTTATGATAGTGATTTTAATCACTGTCAGATATAATTATACTTGACCCAACTATGCCACGTCATCACTGAGCGGTGACCCTCTGTGCTGGGTTTTTTTTTAATGTGATCTGTAATGTTATAATAAGGTAAATTCTAAAATTTTAATTCGATTTAATTAATATTGATTGATCTGTGTGTTTTTTATCGTTTTGGCTAATTTACACATTTTTTTCATTGAAATAGTCATAAAAATGGGAAGGTCATAAAAAAAATTGTTTTAATCTAAATATAGCATAAAGAATAAACCCTGAAAGTTTGAGAAAAAAAATGAGATGGTCGAACCTTTGAATTATTTGACATGGATCCCCCTTAATGATTGTTCATTAAAAAAAATAACAAATTATATAATATTTACCAGTAATGTGAATGGAGCAGTAAATAATAAAGCTCGGCTTAACGCTTTAGGTTTTGCCACTAGAATTTGATGAGGCTCCATACTTAAATGTGCAGTATAGTTAATCAATTCTAGATTTGCTTCTTTTACAGTAAAAGCAGCAGCAGCAATAAAAACCTAAAAAAAATTGTATTATCTATAGAATATTGGTTATAATTAGAGGGACCAAACTTAAGAATTCTATAAAAGTCGTCAAATATGTAATTAATAATTTCTAAAAATTAAGGAGATAAATATTAGTGATGGGAAATATTGAATAGTTACTATCGAACTATTCGATAGTGATTCAAAAAATATTTGATAGTTACACAATATATTCGAATAGTTTATGCTAAAAATAAACTATTCGGTTGTATAAACACAATTCGAATAGTTATACGTAGTTTAAAATATTTAAAAATGCCGATCACTAATTTTTACTATTATTAATTGTATAATAATTTTTTTTAAGTATTCATTAATTATCTTCTTATTATAATTAAGTGTACCCAATAAATATTTTAGATAGAACTAATTGAATATTTTTTAAAACCGTTCGGTAGCCTATTTCAAAAGTTTTTAAAACTATTCGATAGTTTATGCTAAAAATAAACTATTCGGTTATATAAAAACAATTCGAATAGTTATTCGATAGTTTATACTAAAAATAAACTATTCGGTTATTTAAAAACAATTCGAATAGTTATTCGATAGTTTAAAATTTCGAAAATGCCCATCGCTAATAAATATACTCAATTATTGCAGGTGACAATTCTGTAAGAAATTCACCATTTTCACTTACTTTATCTGATCTTATAAGCTCTATAGTTTTATCCCATAAATCATTTGGAACTGCAGCATCATGATCTCCCAAGATGCTCTAATTTTACAATAAAATATGTTTACCTTTTGCAAAAATATTAAAGAGAAATTTATTACACAATTTTTATAACAAGAAACTTACGCTTCTAGTAAAAATAGATTTGGTATAGTTCGAGTTTACTTGATCATTTGTAACAATCATTACAGTATATCTAAAAAACAATTGATAAACTTATGAAAAAAATTAAATATTCTATTTTAAATAATTTATAATATCCAATAGTTACAAAAATTCAGGATCACATTTGAAAGTATCGGATACTACCCTCTGCTTCGAAGAAAAAATTTTTTTTAGAGCGTTATAAGAGGGATTTAAAATTTTTGTGCCTTATCAAGTATTACATAATTGACAGCAACACAAAAATTTCAAATGCAACCTTGCGTAAATTCCTTTTTACTTACGTAAAATTCAAAGTGTTAGCAAGTTGATTGATGACATCGAAAACAAGTCCGCTGTACCCAATAAGGTGTCCACTGCTATTATAATTTATAATTTGCCAAGGAGGAAACTATCGATAAAATTTGTATTACACAAAATTATTTTTTTTAATTCTATACTAATAGATGATAAAATTAATTATAGTTGTGTTGTAATTTATTTTAAACAAATTATTATTACAATTTACCTAGACCATCGAAAATTTCATTTTTAATTCATAAATTGAGTCCAGTCAGACTAAAAATTTTACATGATAGAGTTTCAATTTTTCAAATTAAATTGAAATGAATGATACTTATTCAAAAATAGAAAATTGAAATATTGATAGAGAATTAACTTACGAAAATAAAAACTTAGGTGCCTGGCATAATGCACTATAATGATTTTGGGACTAGGTTTTTGCCATTTTGTTTTCTTGAACAAATATTAGTTCAATAAATGTAGTAACTACTCACCTTCTAATAACTAGAAAGTCTATAAATGAACTAATTATCCATACTAAATTATACATGGTTAAGAAATATTTTCTTCAGAAACTATCATTGAAGAACCATAAAAAACGTAAAAAAATGATGGCTCATTAGAATAATCAAAATAGTAATATACATTTTAATCTAAAACAATTCTATTATTACAAACATGAAATGTAGCTATAGGTAGATTCATTCCTCTAAAGCCATTGATCATATGCGAGAAAAGAGGTTCAGTCAATTTTAGTCCAGTTTTTGCATTCCAGTTACCAACAGGAATCAAATGACATCCATCGCTACTACCAAAGTGTTCTTGTCCCCACGTGATGCCTGAATCAATTTGCCAAGCAGGACACGTTTCACAAATTCCTGATTCATTCAGCCGGTACTTAAATGTAATTGAAAAAAAATAAGAAATATAAATTTAACACTGTTAGTAACTATACAGTACTCTGGTGGAATTTTTAAACATAGATTACAGGTCATTATTAACGAGCAACGTAAAATATTGGGTTTCAAGGAAATAATATTAAAACACATTGTAAAATTTTGTTTTTTTATTAAGCTTTGAAATGGCTCTTAAATAATATAAGATTTATAAGAGAATAAATGTTCAACCAAAATAGTGTACTGAATTATCTTAAAAATAATCGAAGAGAGGATTATTAAAACAGACATTTTGTTTGTTATATTAATCATTCTATTATTGTTATAAACACAATAATTAATAATTTTTCTGCATTTTAAAACTACTATATTTTTTTTTAAACACTGATTCTCGTTAAATAGTGATAGTATATACTAATAATAATATAAACTTGAGAGAATAAGCTTTACTTTGATATTCTTTTCATAAAAATCCAATGAAAAATCTAAGTAAAGGAATAAGAAGAGTACAGAAATTTACAATACATATTGTAAAATAAAACAAATGATTTAACAAATAAATTTAAAAATTGAGTAAAATTTTGAATTATAGCAATTGTAAAATTACAAATATAGAATTTATTCCAAAATTAAACAGATTCTCATCAAAGCAATTTTATAATAGTGATGTTAACACTTGCCAGATATCAACCATACTTGTCCCAACTATACCATATCCCCACAGTGCTAGTTGTTTTTTTATATTATAATATTTCATAATGTTCAGAAATTACGTGATAATTTTTAATTTTCTACAGCTAAACTGTATTACTTTTATAAATGAAACCATCGAATGTCTTCTATCAGTTTTTGATGGCCTGATTTCATCCCATTCTTCTTCTGAAACTCTTTGTGATAATTCCATTTCTTGCTGGATTGAAGCACTGTATGCCATTAAAAATACTGACATCAATTCGTCCACCAAACACAGCAAGCCACCCTTAACATTTCAGTTATAATTTAATATTTATTATTGTTAAGTATACATATTTAATATTTCGACAGTAATTCGGTTGGTATTAATTTTCTATCAAACTGAAATTATTAATTTAAAGTTAGATTTGAATTTTAAATAATTTTAGCAATAAGCAATCAATAATGTTAATTGAAGTTTAGTTTCAAAGTATTTTTAACCTTAAAATCAATTATACTCAAGCTAGATTAAGGAGGGATGGAGCCCATCACAATTTTAACTAGCATGTCATGATAAGTGACATGGACATTTTTTGGTTATTTTAGCTTCGATGCGAAGCTGAGAAGGTATTGGTTTTACTATGATGTGTTTTTTTTTTTTTTTTTTTTNTTTAATTTTCTACAGCTAAACTGTATTACTTTTATAAATGAAACCATCGAATGTCTTCTATCAGTTTTTGATGGCCTGATTTCATCCCATTCTTCTTCTGAAACTCTTTGTGATAATTCCATTTCTTGCTGGATTGAAGCACTGTATGCCATTAAAAATACTGACATCAATTCGTCCACCAAACACAGCAAGCCACCCTTAACATTTCAGTTATAATTTAATATTTATTATTGTTAAGTATACATATTTAATATTTCGACAGTAATTCGGTTGGTATTAATTTTCTATCAAACTGAAATTATTAATTTAAAGTTAGATTTGAATTTTAAATAATTTTAGCAATAAGCAATCAATAATGTTAATTGAAGTTTAGTTTAAAAGTATTTTTAACCTTAAAATCAATTATACTCAAGCTAGATTAAGGAGGGATGGAGCCCATCACAATTTTAACTAGCATGTCATGATAAGTGACATGGACATTTTTTGGTTATTTTTTTTTTTTGCTCATAACTTTTTACGGTAGCAATATTCTCTATAGGGAGGCTCTCATAGATCTTAACCGATCCTGATTATAACGGATTAAAAATGAGTTAATAACACAATTGTAATAAAAAGTAATCGAGATCGTAAGCAAAATCTAGGAATCTTATATAATATTCAAATAAATATATTATTAATGATATAGTATAAATATACAAGTGATTTTAATTAAAATCAATAATATTGGTACTACAATAATATTTATTATGTTGGGCATTAAATAGATTTATTATTAGTTTTATCGTTTAACACATTGACGGACATGACTGCTATAGCAATCACGCTCTTGGCTGTAATTACATATTCACTTTAATATCTCATTAATAGATATTTGGAATAAAAATGCGTCAGAGCTTTTTCCTTTATAAATGTAATACAAAAACAATGAAAACAAAAAAAAGTGTAACTGCTATAGTAGTTGTAGTCCATTCGTGGCTTTTTTCTACTCGTATAACAATATGATTGCTATAGCTATATCACTGTTATAACAGTTATAGTCAAATTACGACTTAATACACAATGACTGTCCATCAACGTGTTAATACTTAAATCAAATTATAAAGTCTCAGCTAATCAAAATTCATCGTTTGTGATTTTATTAGATTTATATTCTCAGTATTGTTATTAAATCATAAAAATTAAAATTAATGACAAGAAATGTTGTAACATTTTTACTTTTACTTACTACACATTTTGGCTCAGTTTTAGTCGCATTGTAAATAAAAGATACATTCTCGCCTTCACTTAACAAATTAGAAAACGACGATACATTGCTACTAGAAGAATCCATGTCCGGTATAATTATTAACCAACTATTTTCTGCCGATAAAAGACGTAAGGTTTTAGCCTAAATATTGATTGATTTAATGTAAAAAGTTTAATTCTAACTTTATTTTTTAGCATACCGCATCTAGTATCAATGGAACATGATGCACGCTAATTATACAAATAAAATTAGAATTTTTTTCGCCTTCTTTTAAAAATTGTTGAAAGTTTTGTATTAATATTTTTCTCCTGAAAACAATGTATCATATTAACAAAGCTCTCGAAAAAAATTACTTTTTCCGAATTTATTAAGTTTACCGTTTCCATTCTGGTTCTTGAGTAAAAAATTCAAAAATAGTTACTGATGGTGATTTAATTGAATTTGAATAGTGTTTAGTTAATGAAGTAACAATGTGTTGAACAATTTTGTTGTCTTTAAATATAAATAATATTTTCTATTAAATTATAATTTAGATAATTATTATTTATAGATAAATTGAAATAATCAAAAAATTGTACACCAATAACAGTTAATTACTGGTAGTATTTATAATATTTAATTAATGTGCATTGTGTTTTTTGAAGTTTCTAAATTCAAATTTAGTATTAAATAATTAGATCCTCTTTGAATACAGTTCATTTTTAGATTCGATGCAAAGCTGAAAAGGTATAAGTTTTACTATGATGTGTTTTTAGCTTCGATGCGAAGCTGAGAAGGTATTAATTTTATCATGATGTGTTTATTTTTAGCTTCGATGCGAAGCGGAGAAGGTATTAATTTTACTATGATGTGTTTTTTTTTTTTTTTATGTCTGTTGCCACTTTTTCTCAGCTCTCACTGGACCGATTTCTTTCAAAAATACGTCAAAAGATCACAAATCGTATCTAGTTGAAGACATTACCCTTAAAAATTGAAAAAAATTCCCTCGTTCCCCGCAAATGGGGGAAATATCCAAAAAAATTACAAATTTA